ATTAAATGGTGAACTTAAAATAATTAGCTAAAAATTAACAATTTATTGTATTATGCAAATTTAAGGTAAAACTCCATGTGGGGCTGTCACATCGATTCTAAGTGACTTTATTAGCTAGTAAAATTTGAGTGGTTATGATTTGATATATATTATCGGTTGAAACAAGGGAATTGATTGTAAAAGGTGTTTCTCATTTTTCTACCACAGTTTTTGATCGGTTCATTTTCTTTTTATCAAAATCTTTCACGTGCATACTTTTATTAAATGAATAACAACAAAATCTAAATTTAGTATCTTTGTTAACTCTATACCATGTTGAATCAATTGATCTAAAAGATAATTCCATAATGCTATAAATGAAACCTAAAGTGACTTTAACCCAAATTGCACCCTAAATCTAGAACCTGTTTGTGAGTGATTTTGAGAATTGATTTTTTGACCGTTAGGAGAAAAGTAAGGTCCACCTGTAAGAGAAGAAGTCAAATATGACGGCTGGAATAATGAAATAACGGTAAAAAAATTAATTTTTTAGACTAAAAAATCACTCCCAAACATGCTACTATTGTCTCTTTTGATAACAATTAATATTTCCTTGCTAATTAAAAAAGCAATAAATGAATATTTAGTTAAAATAAATTAATAAGAAAAAACTACAAGCTTTCAATTTTCGATCAACATCTATCTCTAATCAAATCATTTTACATGTCTATGAAGCAAGTCACAACTACATCAATACTCGAACTAATTTTCAATTTTCAAGATTCCTTAGAAATCTTAAAAGCAAAATGGAACTATCAATGATATCATCATACCAAAAAATATTTTCTCGTTAAGCCAATAAATGCTTTAAGGATTATTCACAAATCAAAAGGTAAGATAAAAAATTTACTTTAAATTTACATAAATCACTTACTATTGTTTCTTTTGAAAAACAGAAAAATGGGCAAATTGGCATCATTTCTTGGACCATACTTTTTATTAAAGTCAATTATGGGCAATATTTGCTTATAATTATGTTGCCTGCATGCATTGGCTTTTTTGTTACCCACATGCATCACAAAAATGAACAGAGCTTGAATTTAGACATTTTTTACTTTTAGTGTGCTCTAAATTTTGTCTCTTTCAAGCAACACTTTTTGGAAGGATTAATCTCACTAATAGCAATGAACTTTGCATTTATTGTCACTTCGTCACCGAATTTTTACTTTGTTTCAGATTCATTACTGAATATTATAAAATCTATATTCAAATTATCGATTTTGTTTGACATCCATTTTATAATAGAAAATTCTAGGTGCTCTAACAATTTGATGATGTAGCATACAAATACTTAGATTTTTCTTTTAACGCAAGAGCATGACTGAAACAGGGTATGCTCAATGGAATGGATTTGGGATGGATTCTCAAGCTTGATTTTGAGTTATATAGGATGGTTTGAATTTGTGTCAAGTCAAAACTTTTTAACGAAATAGTGGCAATGGAGATGGAGGTCTTGTGTTACAAATTTTTTCCTCAATCCATCACAGTTTAGAACTTTTGAAAATATGGACAAAGATGAAAGAGGACATAAATAATTTTACTTTCTACGATTTAAATAGAAAAGCACAAATTTTGTCTTCATCAACCAATATTTACAATGAAAACAAAATGCAAATCTTTAACAGTAATGTTTCTGATGCAATAAACAAACAATGAAAAAGACTAAGAACGCCTTTGAGGGTCTTTACAAGATTGTTATTAATATTTTAGTAATTAAGATTCGAATTTCTAAAATAATAAGTTCGTTAATAAAGAAGTAATTTTAAATTTTTTTGACAGAATAAGTAATTGAAGGAAAAGTTCGACTTAATTTTCCTGCACTATTATTAGACAATCCACGGGACAACTTTTATTAGTTTATATTAGTCTCCAAATACAGGTAATCACAGTTCTGTTGCATGTGACTAAGTTCTGTTGTCTTGCAGGAAAAGTGAAAATGAAATTTCAACTTTTGGAAATAATCTTGTATTAAACGGCAAAGAAGCACAGAGGGATTTTATTCTGCTGTTATCTGGCCCCCACGTACCCCCTTATGAACCCCGCTCTCCGCCCCAAAATTTGCCCCTAATCTTGGATTTCACTTGTCCTTTCCTATAATACAGTTCGATTCCTTGTACAAAACAATGACCACTTCTTGCATTACCCCAGAAAACTTCATAGATCACTTCACTTCTTGAATTTTCATCTGTTTTTTATTTTCTTTTTGGATTCTTGATTTCACCTTCCATTGATTCATTTCTGGTTAGTTTTCGCCGGTCCTTTTCTTTAATATTTTGTATTTTGATTTCTTGATGTGCAGATTATATACAAAGATTAGATTTTTACTGCAAAATAGCCCAAGAAAAGGTGTTACTTGCTAAATCTTGAACTGGTATTTTCTTGAATGTGCTGAAAATGAGGGATTTACCATCTTGTTTCGGTGAAAATGGGGTTCAAGTTGCTGATGCCTCTTGTTCAAGTGTAGGTCTGAGTAAAGCCTCTCAAAATTTGGTTACTTGCATATACAAATGTAAATTGCTAGGTAAATCTTATTTGATTAACATTATTTGGAGCAAGAATATGATGGGTCAATGCCTTACAATTGAAATTGAAGATCTATATCATAATTGCTTATGCAAAGTTGATGTGAAGCCATCTTTGTTTACAAAAAGAAAGGGTTCAAAGTGTTTAGAGGTCTATTCATGTAAAATTGAAGTGTTTTGGGATCTTTCTTTAGCAAAATTCGGATCTGGGCCAGAGCCTGTGGAGGGTTATTACATAGCAATTGTTTGTAAGATGGAGATGGTTTTGGTAATTGGGGATCTAAGGAAAGAAGCATTCAAGAAAACTAGTTCAATTCCTTCCTTTTCCAGTGCAATACTTGTTTCCAGAAGGGAACATATTTTTGGAAAGAAAGTTTATGTTACTAAGGCACAATTCAGTGATAATGGAAAGGTTCACGATGTGAAAATCGAGTGCGATGGAAGTAATGATGCTTGCCTTGTGATTCGTATTGACACGAAACCCGTTATGCAGGTGAAGAATCTCAGGTGGAAATTTAGGGGAAATTACACCATTTTGGTTGATGGACTTCCAGTGGAAATCTTTTGGGATGTCCATAATTGGTTATTTGGTCCGGGTTTAGGAAATGCAGTTTTCATGTTTCAAACTTGTTGGTCAGCCGAGAATCTTTGGTCTAGCCAAACGTTGTCTGATCACTCCATATTCTCTTTGAGCTGCTCCGATAGTTTCATGCAATCAAAGTTACCAGGTCCTAGTTTTTCTCTGTTCTTGTATGCTTGGAAGAATGAATAAATATGTATTCTTCCTTGGTATCTAACAATATCTTTTCAGTAGAAATTTTTTTCCCAATGCTTTTATTGAGTTATATACTTATATCCAATCAATATGAAGTTCTGTTTATACGTTCCCCAATTCTGACCTTGAATAGAAGCAGAAGACTGAATTTGCTATACTTTACCCTGATTTTTATCTTTTGCTGCCCCATCAAGAAGACATACAAATGACTAATTCTAAGGATCGAGAAATTCAACGTTACTATTCTTTTACATGTGGCTTGGTCCCTTTTTTCACGATCCTTTGAATGGAATTGGTGGGGTGGGGCTTTCGCTGGAGCAAACACAATAACTATATTTCAACAAGTCATGTTTTCGCAAAATTGACAACTGCAAGAATTAGTCGTATGTTATTACAGATAACAATAATGTAACAATGAGCCCTACTACACGGACTGGATCACGTAAACAATGGAATTGCATAGTCTAGGCGTGACTAGGGATGTCAACGAGTCGAGTCAAGTCCGAACCTAAAATTTTAGGCTCGAGCTTAGCTCGATTAAAATGGTCGAGCTTTTTTACGAGCCCGAGCCGCCAAAAAGTTTCGGCTCGAACTTTCACGGGCCGAACCGGGCAGGCTTTTTTTTTACCCCTCCTTTAAAACTGCCTTTTTAAAGGCAGCAAACTTCACATAATTTTACCTTGCTGCCTCTTTTTCTTCTTTTTTTTAATAATAAAAGCTCGCGGGCTGGCTTGGGCTTTTTAGCCTCGGCTCGGTTGCTCCGAGTCGGGCTGCGGGTCGCCCGAGCCTTTTTGACACCCCTAGGCATGGCCCTGTCCTCGTAGAAAAATCCTTATACATTGGAATTACATAGTCTAGGCCCAAAACTTACATTCACCCACTATGTTGAAGTCTGTTTTTGAGTCAGGTGATTAGTTAGCTGGGAAGGAGAGAGAGAGATTCTTGAAATTTTGAGTGAATTTTCTAAATGGTCACTGATTTTGTAAAAAATTTTCAAGGGGTCACTGAATTTTAAAAATAATTTAAATGGTTACTGAACTTTGCAAAATTTTTTTATAAAATCACTAAACTTTAGAGATCACCTAAATAGTCACTGAACTTTGCAAAAGGTTTTTTAGGGGTCACTGAGTTGATCTCGTGGAAAATCTTTTACAAAGTTCATTGACCATTTAAATGATTTTTAAAGTTTAATGACCCCTTGAAAACTTTTTAAAAAGTTTAGTGACTATTTGAACAATTCACTCTGAAACTTTTGAANTGATTTTTAAAGTTTAATGACCCCTTGAAAACTTTTTAAAAAGTTTAGTGACTATTTGAACAATTCACTCTGAAACTTTTGAAGAGAGTTGAGTCTAGATCCTACCCTTTTTTGTAAAGATCAACCTGAAAAATTATATATTTTGAAGAATTCGTCAGTATGGTTCTATCATAAATAAATCCCACCAGTAAACTAAATAGACAAGCAAAATGTAGAGGCTCAAGGTCACATAAACACAGACATCATCACGAGAGACGCTGCTAAAGAGAAGTTTTAACATCAATCCTAGTCAAAGGGGAATACGCAGAAGCCTTTTTATTAAAACATTGCAGTACATCGACCACCAAGAAGACCAAACACGAGGAGATTCTATCAACAAGTGGACAACACTAGAACTTAACCTCTCACATGATTGCATAATATTAGTAGCTATTAAACTTAATGCTTGCCCCCACAAACAGCATTTCATAAAACATTATTACAAGACATGTCGTAAACTTTGTAAATCTCAGCGTTGTACTTTCTTTTGCACTGTCACCAAATCCAAAGTCGAACCATAAGTTCTGTTCAGAGCCTCAGCACACCAACCATGCCCATCATCAACAGTTGGCATCCTTACTTCCATAAAGGGAGCTGAGGGATTCTGCTCCCCTGGCATAATGACCCCAGCCAAAACTCTTAGAGAATTCGAAGCATCAATATCCATGCACACATTAATCTCCGGTACACCTTTTGGAGCTGGAGGTATGCCCATTATCTTAAAATAGCCTAAAAGTTGGTTCTTTTCGACCGCTTTCTCATCGCCCTCATAGATGATAATTAGTGCCTCAACTTGATTATCATGCACTGTAGTGAAGACCACGTCTTTTCTTGCTGGCATTGTCGTATTTTTTGGTATAATTGGTACAAAGTTGTTTCCATCTGCTCGAATTCCGATGCTCAGTGGAGTTGTTTGAATCGTTAACAGGTCCAAACTCCCAAAAGGATCATTCACTCCAGAAGCCACTGCACCTTCCAGTGCTGCCCCACGCACTGCAGCCTCCAGTGGGTTCATCCCCGAGTAAACATCTTTCTTACAGATACCCATAACCACATTCCGAATCATCGGGATATTTGAGCAACCACCAACAAGAATTACATCATTTACATCATCTACTTCTAACTTTGCATCAGATAAGCATTGGTTGATGAGGCTTGCACATTTTTCAAACACATGCTGGTTGACTTCCTCGAATTCCATCCTATTGAGGACCTTGTATATTTTTCTTCCATTTCCCAAGTCAATATCAATTTCAACACTAGGTTGGGTCGAGAGCTTGTGGATTGCATCCTGGGTAGCAACTCGAAGCAGCCCCATTTTTCGTATTTCATCGATCCCGTGTCTAGAGAAGTAATTATCCATATCGGGTAAGAGGTGATGCATTGTGTTTTGAAGTAAGTCTTCACCTCCCAAAGTACTTCCGGCCAAACTCCGTATCTGTGAAACTCCTCCAGCTGTGGCAGTGATGGCTGTGTCACAAAATCCTGCACCCATATTGAATATGAGCGCAATCTTTTCACTTCCACTGCCCATATTCTCGTGCACATTCTGCTGTTGTTGTTGTGCATATAACAAGGCGACAGCAGTCGGTTCAGGCATCAATCTTAGAACATGAAGTCCAGCCATGGCACAAGCTCTTTCAATTCGGGTCAACTGGAATCGGCTAAATGTTACTGGAATGGTCAAGACAACATTTCTAATTGGACGCTTAAGCTGCATTTCAGCCATGACTCTTAACTCGACGAGAAATATTGCAAGAACTTCTTCAGGAGTAGTTGATCTCCACATATTATTCACCAATGCAGCAATGAATGGCCTGACACCAATATCTAAGGTCTGCACCAAGAATGGGAGGCTTTTGCTTGCATGAACAATGGGGTCTGTGTCAACTCTACCAATCAGTCGTTTCATGTTGAAAATGGCAGCACCAGATAACATCTCATACTCGTGAGCCAGTTGATTGCTTACACCACCAGCAGGAACCTCGTCTTTAAAGGTAACATATGATTTCATCAACTTCTGGTTTCGAGTGTTCCTGAGGAGCTCCACTTGAGAGCCGCTCCAAACTGCCACACTACATTGAGAGGTGCCAATGTCGATTCCGATTGCAATTTCTGGGACAGTAGATGATGATTTTTCCTCCCCCATAGTTTCACTATCAGATGCTACAGTGTAAGCTTGTTCTGCCATTCTTAAAATTTGACTTATAATTCACTAATACAGCAATTCACCTATTTTCACAAGAAGACATATTCAAACAAAACTGTTAAATTAATTTTATCTACCATCGATAATCCGTACTTATATGCAAATCAAGCAGAAAACATTTTAATATATTCACAACACAGTTACTGCTTAAATTACCTAACTTATGAGTTTAAACACTCATAAATTTTATCTACTATCAATAATCCCTATCATTTTTCTTTTTTAAATAATCATCCACTCCCCACCCCTCCACCCAGCATGTGAGGGGCTGTACTGCAGGCATAATCCATTTCCACATATTTAACATTCATTAGATACAAATGATAGACTAACATAACCTCTGACATTTCCTGTAAGCATGCTCTCTCTCTCTCTCTCTCTCTCTCGTGCAACTCAGAAATACCGTCAAAATAAGCACCTAATAAGGTGCCTTCAGCAGAGCCAAACACGCTTGTACTATCAAATAACTCAATTATACTCTGAGGGGCGACATAAAATCCAAAAATAGATCCGATAAAGAAATGGTTCTTAGACCCCATAGACCCAAAATTCAAGGATAACTACATTTTAACTGTATAACACCCAAAGTAAATAAGTACATATTCATTTTAAGCATCAAGAAATATGTATTCACATTCAATTAACTAATTAATTTTAATAGTTCTTGTTACCCCCATATATGAAGTAATTCGGATATAATGAACAAACCCATTAAAATTAAAAACAAAAACGTAGAAGAAAATCATCAAACAGTTCTTACCATTATACCTACTATCAATGCTCGAAAGCAAAAGAGGTAGAAAACATAATCCCAATTACTTATAATGAGGTATTAAGTGATTATGGCAAATGAAGAGTTGTAATGATAAAACGCGACGCAAATCTTTCAATAAAAAAAAAACTGATTATTTGCATAACAGAAAAATAAATAAGAATCAAAGAAACTTGTAAAATTCACATTCAGATAACTAATTAATTTTAACAAACCCTTTAAAGTAATTATTAAAAGAAATCGTCAAACAATGTGTCAATATACCTACTATCAATTCGTGAAAGGGAAAAATCTAGTAAAAATAACCCAGAAAAATCACTTACTATGATTACGAAGTATTATGCGATTATAGCAAATGGGAATTAAACGTTGCAATAAAGGAAGCAGATTACAGAAATCCTTAGTGAGAATGAGATTGTGAAGAAAATAAGTGATAACTTACTGACTGTTGACGAACAGAGAGAGAGAGAGAACTCTTGGAAGTGCTAGAACTCTGAAGAGGATGCAAGGGGAATAAGAAGAATATACAAAGGTGCCGCGTAAACATTCTAGAGCTTCCGAGAGAGAGAGAGAATTCGCAATTTTTATGTTTTTATACCTTCTGAAAAAAAAAAATAATCATTAAAGAAAATGGCTCCAATAATTTTTATTTTATTTGTTAAAAATATTTTATCATTTGACGATGAGTTTTGCTAGAAATCCCGAGCTATGATAGACCCCCTGCGTACAGGGGGGACATGGAATCCCGAGCATTCGACCAGGGGATGGCAATGGTCAAGTTGAACTCTTCTACGTCCCGATCATGTAGATCAAATTGTAGACCAAAC